CATTTGGAAACAGCAAGCGGAGTCTTCCTGGATGCATCTTGCCCCTCCATGGGGAAGCTGAAAACAAGTCTAAGGAAATGTTCAACTATCTTCAGAAAGGAACTCACCAACTTCTGCCAGCAAACGCGCCGTCCGCGTTCACAGACCGGACAAGGGTGTGTGTGCGGCCTCTGTCTTCTCAGGGGGCATCTGTCATGGCTGCAGCACCTCCTGCTGTGGGTGGCCTTGAGCTGGCCTGGGGGGAGAGGCAGGCGGCAGCTGCTGTAAACACCCCGCTGCCCACGGCGCCAGCTCCGTCCGGCCTGTGGCTAGGCTCATCACCCCGGAAGCAGGGGGCTGCTCGAGGTGCCTCTGACCCTCCAGGTGGACCTCAAGGGACACTGGCTCAAATGTACCCCGCGTGGTTTCCTAGGCAGACTCATCCAGGAGGGGGTCTCTTGGCCACTTTTGTAGCGCTCTGTCTGATGGAAGGTGTCACCCGTGTTTCCACGTTGGGGGCCGAGCACTCCTCCCTCGGTTCTTCCTCACCTCCAGTTGCTGCCCTCAGATTCCCTCTTTCCACCCCTTCCCTTCCCCAGCAGTCTTGGGTCCGGTGGCATCAGCCCTCCCTAGGATTCTCTGTACCTGGGGGACCTGGAAGCCACGGCGAGTGGCACACTGTCCCTCGGGGACTCAGGCTCTACTCAGAGGGGTCTCTGGCGCTGGAGACATGGTACAGAGATGGGTGGAGGCCGCCTCTTCGGGACCAGCTGTCCCCAGGGGACTGCAGTGGGTGCTGGGCAGCAGTGGGTAGCAGGCTGTGGTGCTGGCCCCTGGGGAGAGTGCCCAGAGCGGGGACTGTTGGTGTGGGGTTCTGGCTGAGCTGCTGAGTGGCTGCTCCCTAAGATCTGGCCAAGTTCAGGCCACGTGATTTGGGCCTCAAAATGGAGTGAGGACTGGCCACCTACGTCCCTCCCCTGGCCCCACAGCCTGGCCCTGAGGATACCTGAGGAGGCGGCCTGGCCTCCACCCACAGAGCCTTCCGGCTTGCAGACTGACCATTATCCAAACCAGAGGCAGCTGCGGCCGCTGCTCCCCTAGCACCAAAAGGGTGCAGGCACTGGCCTGGGGATGGGCCTGGGCACTGACAAGAAGGCAAAGGTAGAAGCGCCCGGGCACCCCTTGCTGCACTAGGGAAGGCTGGCCCAAACCCTGTCTGTCTCAACTTGGGCAGCAGTTGCTCTAATTTGGTTCCTTTATTCAGGATTACACTTAAAACAGTCATCTTGATCAGCGCGGTGCACCGGCCAAAGCGCGCTGGCCACGGCAGCCATTGGAGGGTGAACCAACGGCAAAGGAAGACCTTTCTCTCTGTCTCTCTCACTGTCCACTCTGCCTGTCCAAAAACAAAACAAAACAAAACAAAACAAAACAAAACAAAACAAAACAAAACCAAACCAGTCATCCTGGTAAATAGGACTGAGGGAGAAGGAAAAGAAAAAGAGAACAAGCAAGTGTGCATTGGCCGGGAATCGAACCCGGGCCTCCCGCGTGGCAGGCGAGAATTCTACCACTGAACCACCAATGCAAGCAGAGGGCTCATTCTCGCTGCAGCTCAGGTGGTCGCTGGCGGGGAGGGGCGTGGCGAACGAGGGCGCTACAAGCTCGGGCTGCTTCCTCCAGACGCGTCACCTCGCGCTCCCTCCCGGCCACAGCGTCCTCCGGGATCCTGGCCCCACCTTGGCAGGAGGCGGCGCAGGCCCTCCCCGGCCCTGAGACCCGCAGGCTAGCTCTGCTGTCTCCTCCGACCAGCATCCGCAGCAGCTTCCCGGCCGCGGCTGGGGACCCTCCGTGGGCAGGCCCCGAGCTGGGGAGTGGGCCACAGTCCCCTAAAGCTGTCCCAGCACTTCACCACCCTTGGTGCAGCCCCTCCCCAGCCCAGCGGGGAGCTCAGACCGGAGACACCCAGTCCCCCTGCTCAGATCTCCGCCCCCGCCCCCACCCACACCCCCGGGAAGGGGGGACACGGGGCTACTGTGTCCCCTGCAGCGAGAAAGGGGCATGGCTGGAGTGTGGTCCTACTCCCCAGAGCCTGCAGCGGCGGGAAGGTGGCTGAGCCTGCCTGCCTACTGGCCCTTCATCCGGCTGTTCCCACGCAAGGATTAAAGGTTCCCACACTCCCACTGTGGCTTTAGGATCTGGCTTAACACTGCCCTTCATCCCTTGCCAGGCCAAGATCAGCAGTGGAGCCGTCTAGGGGAGGCTGTGCCTGGCTGGCCAGGAGCCAGCGTCGTCACCTTCCTGCCCTCTGCAGCCACCCCTTATCAGAGGCCAACCAGGGGGAGGCCTTGGGCAAGGTCCGAAGGGGGCTCTTCCGGTGAGGAGTGCAGCGTTCTTAGGGACAGCTGCATGCGTGTTTCCCCCAAGTCCAGGGCCAGCGAGTCTGGCCCGGGACAGTGGCCCCTTCTCATTCACTTCCACAGCAGCTGCGGTCACTGCGACCTGAACTACAAGCTGCACGGAGAAGACGTCCCCTACAGGTGGGTGGGTCCCACCTGGCAGCCCTCTGGGCGAGCCGCATTCCCTCTGCCCTGTCCTCGCAGGGTGTACGAAAACCAGAGGATCCCCCTGCTCATCAACCATGTGCCCGTCAGGATCCGGAGGACCCATGCAGGCATGGGGGTCAAGGGCAGCTTTGGCCCCCACAAAGCCTCCAGGAATGGCCCGCTGCCCCCAAGGCGGATACAGCGTGAGTGAGGGGGCAGTGGGGAGAAGCTGGGCGGGCGCACACGTGGTGAGGACAGGCCAGGGAGCTCTGGCAGCACTGCCCTCAGCCTCTGTGTCGGGTGGCCACCCACCCTGGCCCCTCTCCCTGCAGCCCAAACTGGGGAGCTGCACTCCATCAGGGAGGAGCTGAGCCAGATCAAGGCCCAGGTGGACAGCCTGCTGCAGAGTCTGGAGCGCATGGACCCGCAGAGGCACCAGTCTGCAGGTCAGACCCCCGCTGTAAGCCCAGCCCACGCCCAGTTCCTGAAGATAGGGGGTGGGGGTGGGGGGTGCCTAGAACCCTGCCTCCGGTTTTCCAGGCTCTCCTTGGGTGGTCCTCTCCCCATTTGCTCTGGCTCTTCCTGTGGCTCCAGGGCTGTCCCATCACCCCCACCCTCTCAGCAACTTTCTGGAGACAGAACACTGCCCAGGCCATGTGCCTCAGGACCTAATCAGAGCTGGGCATCAGGTGGCTCCCTAGACCAGCTGGGACCTCTACTGACTGGTGCCTCCCTTTGCACAGGGACGACGGACAGTGAAGAGACCAGGGGTCCAGGCAGTGAGAGCGCCTGGTGCCGAGGCACTGAAAAGCAGTGGGAGCCCAGGGGCGAGGCCCGGTGCGCAGAGGGACAGTGCCAAGGCAGGCACCAGCACAGAGCAGGCAGTAAGTGGCCTGGCTCCTCCTCCCCATCTCCACTTGCTGGGATCCCCGTGTCTCCCTGTGTGCACGATCAGACTGAGGCCTGTACAGGAGCGTGGGGTGGGGGTGGGGGTGGGGATTAGGACTGTTACCTCAGAGGCAACACCCTGCTGTTTATCCCAGCTCTGCCCTTGGGTCTGCTGGGAGAGCAGGCCACATGGAGAATGCTCTTTTGCTTGGTTGGTCTGGATGCCCAGACACTCAGGGAGTCTAGCTCCTGACACGATGGGCTGGGTACTGTGTTGGCAGCCAGTCCTGCTTTTTTTTTCCCACAGGTGAAGAATCACACATCAGACCAGGAGGGCAGTGAGTAGGTGGGAATCCTCCCTGGCCTGCCAGTGCCAGGCACCTTCTTGTATTGTTTTGAAGGCCTCCTAGTGGCACCCATTTTGGAGCTGGGGCAGTGCAAACGGAGGCACATCCCTGGGGGGAGGGGGTTTCCAGATGGTGGTCCTAGGGCTGGTGGGGCTGGGAGACAGGCTGCCTGAGACCACCCTGGTTTGCAGGGGGCTGCCTGAGACCATCCTGGTTTGCAGGGGCACCTGAAGCACCCCCTCCCCACACACCACCAGGGCTGCCGGGTGTGCAGCATCAGGCTGCAGTCGTCCCCCAACAGCTGCTCCAGGCACAGTGGTGCACAGGAAACACACCTGTGTTCCCACAGTCTCCCCTCCCCGCCCAGTTGTAAAGTCCTGGGTCTCTGCCCTACATGGGCCCCTTTTGCTTCCGACTGTCCTTTCCAACAGGGACATCCTTTCTCTGTCCTGTCCATTCCTATCTTGTCTTTCACTGGTGTGACACTGTGTGTTTGCAGATCTGCTGTCAGAACAGAAAAAAATAAAAATTGCATTTCTTCTGCCAAAGGACTGTGGTGTGACCCCAGAACTTCACCCTGGTCTTTGGGCTGCCCCAGGCCAGCCCTTCAAGACAAGTTTAGCAGGTCATCCAGAGCTGGGTGCCCGGCCCTCCCCACTGTGGTCTCCGCTGGCTCCCTCGATTCTGTTAAGCCCAAGCCAGCAGGGTTCAAGGAAGACTCCCCTCCTGCCATACAGCGTAGCCATGCTCCTCTGCTTTCCCAGAAGCCAGTTCACCCGCCCTCTCCCCAGGGGCTCAGGCTGGACAACGGGCAGATGAAGGCAGCCCAGGGGCCCACTCAGCGGCAGTGCAGGCCTTTGACTGGACTGCTGTGGCCCTGGCCACGGAAGGCTGGGATCCGGCTTCCACCCCCAGCAAAACCCTTTCCAGCTCTCGGGAACCCTGCGCTGGGGCCTCTCGCGGCACAGCCATGAGCTCCGGGACCCCCGAGTGCTCCCGGGCCGTCCAACTCTCCTCCCGGCGCAGCAGCCGCCCTCACGGGCACCGGAGGCGGCGGCGTGTCTTCCTGCCAAGCACACGGCCCACTTCTAAACCCGCAGCTGCTTCAGGATTCTGGCCCGTCTGGTCGGCTCACCGGTCCAAGGGACACGACACAGGCGGGGCAGTGCTGTCCTGAGCCTCACCGCCAGGGAGCCTTGCTCTCTCTGAAAATCCTGTACTAAGAACCACGACACGCGTATTTCGAATACAAAAAAAACGGTTTTGTTGTTTCAGTCCCGCTGTGAGAAGGCGCAGCGCCCTGTCCATCGTCTCCGGAGTCACACAGATCCCGCGCTCCGGACCAGGCCGGCTCAAGTCCTTCCCAGCTCGGGAGTAAGCAAGCAGCCCGCGGCTTCCTGCGCTGGCTTCTGGCTGGGGACTGGAAAGATCGTCAAACGTTCGTCTGTCGACAGCCGTTCCAACGCAACTGTCCATCTCCGCACGCTCTGTCCGCTCGCGGCTCCACTTCGCCCGCCGGCTCAGGGCAGGGCGGCGCCCCTGCGGCGGGCGGCCCGCACCAGGCACTGCTGCAGCACCGGGTAGAGTCGCTGGCAGCCCTCGAGGCCCAGCCGCACGGCTTCGGCCCAAGTCTCGGTCGCGTCGCCCTCCCCGCTGCCCAGCAGCCCGGCCACCTGGTTGAGCACCGGCATGAGGGCCACGGTGAGGCCGGCGGCGGCGCGCTCCTCCTCCAGCCGCGTCGGGTCCAGCAGCCAGGCGGGCGTGGGCCCCTGCGCGCGGCTCAGGCCGCAGCCCACCACCAGGTCGTACATCTCGACGCCCGCGTCGGCCAGGGCGAGGGCGGCGGCCGTGAGGGCGGCGGCCAGCGCCGAGCCGCCGTCCTCCAGCAGCAGCGCCGACACCTCGAGCTGCGCGCGCGGGTAGCGGCTCAGGCGCACGGCCGGCTCCAGCGCCTCCTGCAACGCCAGGGCCAGCTCGCGCTCCTCGCCGCCGCCCGGAGGCGCCCGGCGCCGGCGGCCCGAGAAAGGCGCACGGCGGAAATCGCAGACCAGGCGGCCGCGCAGCGCGGCCGGGGCCTCGCCGCCGGCGCCGGCAGGGCCGCTCCCTCGCTCGCTGCCCTCGACCTGGCGTGGGCCCGACACGGCGCACAGCACCTTGGTGCCTCCCGCCTCCAGGTAGGCCGAGCCCTTGGCCTGGCTCAGCAGCCCGGCGCGCGCGTACACCGGCCGCAGCCGCGTCGGGTCTCGGGCGGCGGGCTCCTCTTCCTCGTCGGCGGCGTACAGCTGCGGCGGCTGCGACTCGTCTGGTCCGCGGATGCGGCGGTGGTCCCCGGGCATGGCGGCACCTGGCGAGCACACCGCTTCCGCCCGTCGTTCTACCGCGCGCTCCGGCTCTTCCGCCCGCTTGAAGACGCGCGCTCGCGCGGGGGCTGTCGGGAGAGCCGCAGGCAGTCGCGGCTGCACTGCCTCCTGGCGCCGTGGAGGGAGAACGGCTGCGGCGCCAAGGCTTTGAAGCCGCAGCAAGGTTGCCCAGGGCTGGACGGGCCGGTTGACTGTCTCCCAGGCCAGGTCCTACCCGAGCAATTAGTCTTCTCACTTATGCAGGCTGTAGTTATCTTAGTTTTGCACTAATCTGTGGGACTATTTTATATGTCCCCACCGGGGAGTTGGCCTTGCTCACTCCCATGCCCCTGGCTGGCACGAAGGCCTATATGATGGATGGAATCTCTCTCCAGCACTGGCTTTATGTAAGTCTCTTTGTATCATTAACACGGACGTCAACACCCCCTTTCTGCCTCCCCTTCCCACCCTGAGAACCGCCCTTCACCCCAGCATGCACCTGCTTTTCCTTCTCCCTCCACTGTCAGCAGCACCGTGACCTGGGCTCTGGGGCCAGCCGCTGTATCCAGAGGACAGGACATCCGTTGGGGCTGGCACAGGCAAGCAGTACCTTCACCTTCCAAACTCTGCCATTTTAGACTTGGGGAAACTGGACTCAGAGACCGGCCAGTGTCTTTGGGTCAAGTGGGAGTGATGGGCAGACACTAGAGTAGGAGGCAATAGCTGCACCTTAAACATCTTCTGTACCAGAGACTGCCCTCCAGCCTCATACCCTGACCCCACATGAAGAGCTTCAGAGGGAGGGGAGGGACATGAGCCAGAGCCGCCGCCTGCAGGGCTGGCATCCGATGTGAGCACCAGTTTAAGACCAGCTGCTCCAATCCAGCTCTCTGCTATGGCCTGGGAAAGCAGTCGAAGATGGCCCAAGTGCTTGGGCCCCTGCACACGCGTGGGAGACCTGGAGGAAGCTCCTGGCTTCGGATCAGCACAGCTCCGGCCACTGCAGCCCTTTGGGTAGTGAACCAGTGGATGGAAGACCTCTCTCTCTCTGCTTTTCTGTAACTCTGCCCTTCAAATCAATCTTTAAAAGAAAAAAACAATGGAGGTTCTCCAGGCGCACCTTTGCTTTGTAACCCCTCGGACCACTGAATTATTAGAGCCTCTCTCTCCATCTCACCCCCGTCTCCACAAACACTGAGTTCAAGGGTTTAGGGCTGGACTGAGCTGGAGTCAGCATGTTTTACACACCCTCGGGTAGCCAAGAGCTGTCAGCAGGGGTGCATGCTGGGAGGTAATGACCAGAAGGCATCAATGAGTATTGCACATGGTCCTTTATTCTCTGCAGCACAAGTGCCCACCTGCAGACCCAGAAGCCTCGGGTCAGCAAAGAACTGCATTTCTGGATGTGAACTTGACACAGGTAGACAGCGATCCTGGGCCAGTGGTTCTAGACGGGCAGTGCCAACGTGCAGGCCTCCGGGCAGAAATATCAAGGGGGACCGAGGCACAGGACAGCTCCCAGGGGTGTCCAGTTACTGCTGGGTTAGGAGGACGGATGGCTGTTTGCAGGTCCCAGCATTCAGGAGTCTTTGTGGCAGACGGAGATCTCTGGGCTGGACTGATGCAAACGGGTGACGGGGAGATGGCTCCCAGGGAAGCTGCCCCTGCTCTAGTTCTTCACATCTCCCAGGCGCAGCTGGGCAAAGGAAGTGGCCAGCTGCAGTGCCTCCTGTAGGCAGCCCACATTCTTGCCCGTGGCCTGGGCAGACATGTCCTTGCCACCACCTTTGCCATCCATCAGGCCCGACACCTGCTGCACCCACTCACTGGCCTTTAGGCCCCTGTTGGCTGCATTCTGGAACACAGGAAGGCGAAGTGGGAGTCAGGACAGAGGATGGGATCGCAGGATGAATGGAGAGAAAGGAAAAGGATGGGAGCCACAGACACCCACGCCTGCCCCAGGTGACAATGCTGGAGGCTGAGAAACGCCACAGCTGGTACAGGAGGCAGTCAGTGGCCACCGTTAGCATGAGTCCAAGCCAGCGGCAAGGCTGGGCAACAGCCATTACAGTTAAACACATTCACCAGCGAGACAGGAAGGGTGGGGTCCCGGTGAAGGTGACCAGCAGGTGGGCAGGAGGCCCACTACTTCTAACCGGGCTGCACCCACATCCGTGGGCATCGGCAAACAACCCGAGGAACCCAGCTCCCTCTGAAAACCCCAGGCGGCATCTCCCACTGGCTGCGGTGGCTCTCACCTGGGGGACCTGACATAAGCACGTGATCTTGCCAGCCTCGTTGTCCACCGTGAAGAGCATGGCAGACGTCTGAGGGGAATGCGTCTTGAAAAGCTTCAGGGCTTCATTCAGGGCCTGTGGGAGGACCGGGGTCAGGCCACAGCCCTGCTCGCCACAGAGCAGCCTGCAAAGCGCAGCCCTCGGAGTGTCCCATCCCTCCCAGGAGGGGGCCCTGCCACACTCTGGCTCGGGGATTTGTTTCCCGCCTCCAGGGAGCTGCTCCGCCCTCCAGCCAGGAGCCAGAGCCCCCCAGCCGGCCGCTCGCTCCAGGGTTCAGCTGAACCTCAACCCCGGACAGGGGCCCTCAGGAGCCCACTCGGCTCGGAGCCACTAAGCCCACCCGTCAGCCACCCCTGGGCTGATGAGACCCGCAGGGAAGGGAACACGTGATGGTGAGGGTCAGCCCCTGGGTTGCCTTGGCCGAGGCGCCGCTCTCCATCTCCAGGATGACGAGGGGTTGGTTGGGGTTGCTGTCGATAAGCTGCTTTGTCTTCTCCAACACCTGCAAGAGGTAAGTCCGGAAGTCAGGCTCCGGCCAAAGGCCCAGACCCCAACACCCTGACAGCAGTCTTGCCCGCCGAGGAGGTCCTCTAGGCTCCTGTCCAGCCTGCCGCACCGCAGGACTCACTCGCTTCTGCACGTCGGCTTTGCTGGCTCTGTCTAGGTCATCCATGATCTTCTTCAGGGATTTCAGAGTCTCCCGCAGTTCATCCTTCTGCCACTGGGGGATGACTGCCGCGGCCAGGGCCTAGACCCAGAACAGAAGACCATCTGCATCTGGCTGCACGGAGCTCTGACGCGAGGCTCCAGCCCGCGCACCCACTCGGGCTTGGAACCCGAGTCCTCCCTGAGCAGTGTCCAGGAGGAGAGAAAACAAACACGACGGTACGCAGGGGCCTTGGGCACATGGTGAGCGACCGCAGCAGCTGGAACAAGCTGAGTGGAGAGGGAGAAACTGCACAGACGGGGCTCCCTTGTGAGCCCTGGTCCTTTCCAAGCCATGAACGCAGGCTGTGGTGGGCTCACCAGAAGCCCCAGGTACCAGTGACCACCAGGCACCTTCACCACTGCCCCTCATGCCAGCAGCACCGGGAGCAGCAGGGCGAGTCAGCCAAGGCCCATGCCACACGGAACCAGGACCCGCCTGGATGCAGGGAGCTCTCGTTCCTTAGGCAGGTGTGGTCCGGGCAGGTCCCTGAGCAGGGAGGGGGCTGCCCTCACCTCTCCGAGGTCGGCGATCTCCTTCTGAACATCCTTGTTGGGCGCAGTCTGGGCCTTCACTTTGGCCTCCATGACTGAGAGTGATTTCTTCAAGCTCTCCGCTTTCCTGAGGGCCTGGGAGGGGGACAGTCAGAGTTGGGACCTCCAGGACAGGCAGCTTCCATCCAGCCTCACTGTGGACAGTCGATGGCAGGTTCCAGAGCAACACACCCCAAGACACCAGAGGTCTCTTCGGGTCAGGCAGCCTCGCACCCCACAAAGGGGCACCCTCCTCACACACCTGGCCAGCAGAGTGCACACTCAAGTTCAGGGTGTGGCTGAGAACTGGCGAATCGGGGGCCCCTGGCACCCCCTGAAATCCCAGCTCTCCAGCTCTACCCCCCCAGGGCAACTGTCCCTCTATCTGCCCGCACCTCAGACTAGGCACACAGCCTCAGGGGCACAGGGATAGGCAAGGAGACACCTGAAGCCGCAGCTCGGCCACGGCCTCCCCTCCTAGACACAGATGCGTCAGCGCTGAACTCGCACGTTTCAAACGATTAAGTGTAAGACTGTGCTGTGTGGCCCGCGCCATGGCGCACTAGGTTAATCCTCCACCTGCGGCGCCGGCATTCCTTATGGGCACCGGTTCTAGTCCTGGTTGCTCTTCTTCCAGTCCAGCTCTCTGCTGTGACCCGGGAGGGCAGTGGAGAATGGCCCAGTGAGAATGGCCCAAGTGCTCGCATGGGAGACTGGGATGAGACTGGGATGAGGCACCTGGCTCCTGGCTTCAGATCGGTGCAGCACCGGCCATGGTGGCCATTAGGGGAGTGAACCAATGGAAGGAAGACCTTTCTCTCTGTCTCTCTGTCTATAACTCTACCTGTCAAATAAAAAAAAAGAAAGGCTGTGCTGTGGCTTGAACACTTGTCCCCCTGAACTCAGCTGAGTCCCCAAGGTCTTGTTAATGGCCCTAAGAAGGCGGACACTTCATCTCATTACAGCATTGAGAGGTGGGACCTTTGCTCTGGGAAGTGATGAGCCAGGAAGAGGCCAGCAGGGTGGGACCCTCACGACTGACTCCTGCTGGCCTTGTGGGGAGAAAGAGACCAGGGTGGTACAGACAGGGCACACTCTCCATCCCCTGTCATGTGAGGCTCTGAGCCAATTTAGGGCTCTGCTAACAAGAAGCCCAACGCCAGGACGGAGCCAGTGGGGCTCTTGGGCTGGGAACCTCTAGAACTGTGAGCAAACTAAACCTTTCTCCTTTACGAAGTTAGGCTGCCCCGGGCTGCCTGTGACGGCAATGAAAGGGTGACTAACACAGACAGGCAGGAAAGCTGTGCAGTGGCGGCTCTGCTCGCCAGGCTGCGTATCTAGGGACACTCTGGGGCAGCACGGTCTTCCCTTTGGACTCTCAGGCTGGGCTCCTCTCGCCTCATTCAAATGAGCTGCACGGCAGCCCAGTGGGCTCACCTTCTGGGCTTCGGCACCTGTGACGGCCACGATCCTCCGGATACCCTTGGCAATCGCTTCTTCAGTCACAATCACAAAATCTCCGGCGTGACTTGAGTTCCGCA